CTCCAGCCAGCTCACCTGCAGCCAAGGCTCTTAAGGAGGCCCTGGGGAGTCTCAGGGCAAATCCTACCTCTCCCTTTATAAAGGGCTCCGCGGAGAGGTGCCTGGGCTCCCCTCGAGCCCCCAGGCGTGGTGGGAAGGGCTCATGGGGGAGGAAGGAAGGGGCAGTTCTGCTAGTCCTCTACAGGCCCTGTAAACCTGCCCCCGCCCTGGCTGCTGAGGGGACCCGGCTGCCTGCTTGAGGTTCTGCTGTGGCCTCTGAGCCCTTCTCTCTCCAGTGCACCTGAGAACTCCCTCTCCCTCTCTCTCCCTCTCCCCCTCTCTCTCCCTCTCCCCCTCTCCCTCTCTCTCTCTCTCTTACACACACACACACACACAGCTCTCTCATACTCACAAGATCTTTAATTCACTCTCTATGTAGTTTTCTCTCTTACACACTCGCTCTCACACTTACTACATCTCTTTTCTCCCTCACATACCGCCCTCTTTCTCCATCTCCCTAGTCTTTCACACATTCCTTCCCTCTCTCCCTCTCCCTCGCCCTTTCCCTCTCCATCTTCTCCTCTCCCCACGCCTCCCCTGGTGCTTAACTGGAAACAAAAGTGAGTTTGTTGTGGCCGGTGGGCAACAGACGTGTGGAGGCATCAGCCAGGGTGGCAGCAGCAGAAAAAGGCTGGGGCCAGAGGCAGTGCCGACAGCTGGAGACCCCAGTGCTCAGCTATTCCAGGGAGCAGGTAATGTCCCAGACGGGCCGGTTCAGGCATCCTGCTCTCTGCCCTGTCTCACCTTTCCATGATTGTTCCATTTATTTGCCTTCTTATCTGGCATTGAAGGGGGAAGGGGATTCTATACTTAGGGAGCGGTAGACACAAAGGTCCAAGGAGTGACGCCCCCTCCTCTTCAGAGAACTGTGTGTGGTCTGATGTGGCTGGGGTCCAGGGCACGTGGGGTCAAGGGTGGCTGGGGTCTGGGGTGTCTGGGATTGAGGGTGCCTGGGGTTGAGTGTGACTGTGGTCCAGGGCATTTGGGTGAGGGACATGACAGAACATAGAAAGGCAGATTAGAGCCAGGTCACAAGGAATGTTTTGAGCCGTGTCATAGACCCTAGGGTGTAGACCTAGCCAAATCAGACCCCAGTAGAGAGCTATTGAAGTTTTTTCACCTGGAGAGTAACAGGGTCAAATCTACATTTTAAAAGAGTAGTTCTTGAACTCTGATCCCATGGAGAATTGGTGCGCCCTTTCAGAATCAAGCAGTCAGTCTTCTCCCAATTTAAATAAAAAATAAGGTTATTTGTTCAATTGTTAGTTTTTCTTCTGCAAAATTTCCTTAAACCTTTGATGTCTGCTAGTGTCAGCAATCAGTAAGTCAATGAAAAGCAAGTAAGTTTAAAGTAATAGAAAAAGTCAGAAATAAAATCCACTTAAATAAGTGAAGCCCATTGAGCTATATACAGATGAATTAATAGTATTTTCTGCTATTAAAATTATTTCTAACTCATATGGACAATATTTTATGGTGCTGCCCAATGAGCACCATGACTCCCAGGAGTCTGTCACATGAACATGTTTGAAATGTTTTAAAAGCAAACTCGGCTGCTACATAGGGAATGGGGATGGATGGGGGCACCAGAGGCAGCGGGATCAGTAGGTGGCTATTGTGGTGCTAGGAACAGGAGATAACAAGAACCTGAACCAAGATGGTGGCAATAGATGGAAAAAAGGGAGAGAGCTAAAAAATATTTAGGAAGCAAGTGAAAGAAGTTAGTGTCTGGTTGGACATGGATGGCATGAGAGAAGGAGGCTTCAGGAGTGAGTCCAACATGTATCATCTGGATGGCTGGGTAGTTAGGGGTGCTATTGATCAGAACAGAGGAGGGCAGGGTTGGGGTGTTGGAAGAATGGATGCAGAGTGTTTTGAATATGTTGAGGTTGGCTCGAGAAGGCTGCAGAACTCCCAAATGGAGCAGTCCAGTTGGCAGTTGGAAATGCTCAATACAGGCAGGACCTGGAGACGTGGGTGACCTTGTCTATAGGGTGACATCCTAAAGAACACAAGATGGACCAGGAACAGTGCAGAAAGATAGGGGAGAAGAAGGCCAAGGAGGAATCCTGGGGAAGATCAAGATTTAAGTGAGACAGGCAAGAGGGGCCAGAGAAGGATATTGACAAGGAGTCCTCAAAGAGATATGAAAAAATATCAAGAAAGTGCTGTATTATGAGAGCCAAGAGTGGCATTTCAATTCAGAGGGAGTGGTCAGTACCACTGATGTCCAAGAGAAAGAAAACAGACCATAGCTTCACAGCGCTGTTGGTTTCATTGATTTTATTAACTTGTTGGTTTGAGAATAAGATAAAAAGAGAGATCTGATGGTGGGGTTATAAACTCAGGTGCATAGCATAAATGAGATTAGCAGGGTATAGTAGGGAGTAGTGGGGACCGTGGCAAACTAAAATGCGTATGCCCACCCAAAGAAAGCAGCCATCACTCAGCTCTAATTGATTGTTTCCAAGCAGGAATGTGGGCACAGTCATTAGAATATCTGAATTTTCAAGAGAAGTCAGAAATCTGGATTTTTATATGAAATCTCGCAATTCTTTATGTTAGCACCTATTTCAAAAATTTTTATACTCTATGAGGGCTGAATTAAACACACTTTGAAATCTCTGCCTTAGTGTGATGGAGCTGAACCAGTTGCAGCCGGTTAGGAAGTGATTGGGTAAGGAGGAAGTGGAGATAGCAAGTGTAGACCACTCCAAGAAACAGGGAAAACGAAGGGAAAGGAGAGCAGGAGAGCCTGAAAGGCAGGCAAGATCAGAGAAAAGTATTTGAGGGTAAGAAGAACTGTTTATAGGCTGACAGAAAGAGAGTGGAGAGAGAGAAGTTGAAGACCCAGGTAAGGAAAGGCTAGTTGGCAAAAATGAAGATCCAGCAGAAGGGAATGGATGGGGCCAGAGACGAGGCTGGAGGAAGGACTCTTCAGCTCAAAGGAGCAGTGGTAAGGACATAGAAGGACTAGAAGAGAGGAAGTTGATGGATTTCATGCCTGGAGGCCTTTATTTTCTTGATGAAGTGCGGTGGGAGATGGATTAAGAGGCTTGAAGAGAAGAGCAAAGGTTAGGAATGGCATCGAGGGACATGGGAAAGGGTGCCAACAAGGATGAGTGGAAGGTGGCTGTACTTCTGAGATGTGCTGAGAGTGGAAACTCTCCATTTGCACAGGTGGGTGGTTTTCTCCAGCAGGGGCCATGGGCCTAGGTGCTGGGATTGGTGGTGAAGGGGCTTAGCACCCATTCCATTCCAGGCCCTGTGTCACATGACTTGTTCTCCTTATCTGATTTATTCCTCCCAACAGCCCTGTTCACTCAGAGTGACTTCACTCAGGAGTAAGTGGCAACTCTGAGATTCACACCCATCTCTAGTTGGATGGAAGACCATTGTGTACCCTGCCTCCACCATACCACTGTACCACACTGCCTCTCCCCATACCTTCAGGACACACCTGCAGAGATGAAGACTGGGCCATTGAATTCTTGTTGGGACATTGGTTGGCCAGTTTTATTGGGAAGTCAAGGAGTAAGAGAGTGGAGTGTGTGATGAAAGAGTAGTTGAAACTATTGACCATTGGGAGTCCATGGAGAAATAAGTGAGGGCCAAAGGGGATGATACACTGAGGGGATAGAGAGGCTTGGAGGAAGGGGAAGACTTGATGAAGCCCAGGAGACAGTCAATGAGAGACTGAACCAAGGGCAGGGGCAATGGGATCAGAGAGGAGGGAACGTATTCTTAAAAACTCTCAATATGGAAGTGGAGATGAGAGAAAGAGGTGAGGTGAGGCTGACTCCAGGGTGTGTAGCCTGTGCACTTGGGTGGACAGTTAATGCCTTTAACCAGGGCATTGACGTCATGTCGTACCTCTGTCTCTTGCTCACCGTGCTCTAGACACACTGACCAGTACATTCCCACCTCAGGGTCTTTGGAACACTTGGAGGACTCTTCTTCCAGATGTGCAGATGTGGCTCATTCTCATCTTTCAAGTAATGATTCAAATACACCCTCCTCAGGGAAGCCTTCCTTGATCATGCTGTCTAATGTAGTTCCCTGGTCATTTAATTATTTTTTTCAGAACACTTATCACTACCTTAAATGATCATTTATTGGTTGGTTTACTTGTTTATTGTCCATCTCTGCCACTAGAACAGATGTTCAAGAGAGGGAGGACATATGGCCCTTCTTCACTTCTTTGTTTTCCAACACCCAGAACAATGCCAGCCACATAATAGGCATTCATTAAACATTGAGTGAAAGAAAGAAGGAAGGAAGGAAGGGAGGGAGGGAGGAAGAGGGAAAGAGAGAGAGAGAGAAAAAGAGAGAAAGAGAGAAAGAAAGGAGAGGCATGTTTGGGGAAAGGTACATGTTCAGTGTCAGAATGCTGACTTTTAAGGTGCCTGAGAGACACCCAGGAGGTGACATCCAGTGGGCAGTTGGAAAGCAGAGTAGTAGCTCAGGAACAGGCTGTCCCCTTGCCCATGAAGAAGGTGGGCCCATGTGGCACACTGGCGCAAGCACATCCTTCACATGCCTGCCCCTTCAAAGCCAACGTTGGAAGTTGACTGGTTTGGGGCCCGGTGGGAGAAAGGATCCCTCTGGGTTTGCTCTGCTTAAGTTGGGTCAGAGTTTTTCTTACTTCACTTTTCTATTCTATTCCCCATCTTTGCTGCTGCCCTGGCTTTGGCCATTTTCTGTCCTTCTTCATTAGTGGCTACAAGACCCTGAAGTCCGAATGCATACTAAATCCTTTCTTCTCTTTTATCTCAGAGAGTATCTCAACCATCTCCAACCCACTGAGGCTTGAATCTAGCTTCGCCCAGAAGCTGGGCTTAGTTTTACTGAATTAGGAAATACTTTTCCCTTGTACTTGTCTCCCGCTCTGTTTCAATTGGCCTTGCACCCCTCCACCTCCCATGGAGCACTCAGCAGACCCTGCTGCCCTCCTTTTGTAGGATCTCCAGCTGCTGAGCAGCTCCAGGACATCCTGGGGGAGGAAGATGAGGCTCCCAACCCCACCCTCTTCACAGAGATGGACACCCTGCAGCACGACGGAGACCAGATGGAGTGGAAGGAGTCAGCCAGGTGAGGCAGAGCCCCAGGAGGGAGGTAGAGGGGCTTCCTGCTGAGGTCCACCTGGGGCCCAGGCTGAGCCGACCCTCTCGGTGGGAGGGGTTATTGGCCAGTGGCATCTCGCACCTCGAGTTCTGCCAGGGCACTTCCTGGCCCCTGAAGACCTTCCCTTTGCCTTCCTTGGTGTCCAGAACTGGGTTGGACACTAATGAGCAAAGAGAAACTTATGGCTTTGTCTTTATCTCAAAGAAATTAAAACCGTGAGACCATGAGAGAATAATACAAGGGCACATATACATATTCTTTCATGCCAAATGGTTCAAACTAAATGCTGTAGGAGAAGGGAAAGCACCAAGTGGGCTGGAGTAGACAGGAAGGCTTCCGGGAGGAATGAAAGTGTGTGCGAGGGAAAATCCAGATGGAGTGATCCAGTGGGCTGCTGAAGAAAAGGGACTCGGCAGAGTCTGTGGTGGGACAAGCAGAGTAGAGCTATGGAGGAACGTGTGGGGAGCAGAGAGAGCTCTGTATGTAGGGGCAGTAGAAGGAAGAGAGGAGCCAGAAGGCTGGAGGGGAACCATGTAGTGAAGTCACAGGAGCCGATGGAGGATCAGGGTAAGGAGTAGTGCTGACCATACCCCAGTGCTTGGGACAGAGCGGCCTCTAAACTGAACTGGACTGGTCACTGGTAACAAAGGCTGCCGAGACCAGAGGAGAAGGAAGGATATGGTAGGTGGCAGCAGGCAGGGCTGGTGAGAGGAGCAGGGACCCTAGGAAGGAAGTTGACAGAGTCTGGAAGAAAGACTATACCAATGTTTCTCAACCTCTTTTTGTGTTAGCCCCTCCCAAAGAAACTTTTAATTTAAATTAACTTTGTTAAATTAGAATTTGACTTAATTTTTTTCTTTTTTTGTTTTGGTGAGGAAGATTGGCCCTGAGCTAACATCTGTTGCTAAACTTCTTTTTTTTCTTCTTCTTCTCCCCAAAGCCCCCTAGTACATAGTTGTATATTCTAGTCGTAGGTCCTTCTATTCTGCTATGTGGGACGCTGCCTGGCATGGCTTGATGAGCAGTGCCACGTCCATGCCCAGGATCTGAACTAGTGAAACCCTGGGCCGCTGAAGCAGAGTGCACAAACTGAACCACTCAGCCACCAGGCCAGCCTCCTAATTTGTTTCTAATAAGAGAAATTAAATACTAAGGAATAAGATTTTGTGAGGTAGGGTTGAGCTTTGGAATGCCACAAACCATTGTAATATCTAAGATTGTTTGCACCTGCCCCAGTGGCCTAGTGGTTAACTTCAGCACGCTCTGCTTCGGCAGCCCGGATTCACTTCCTGGGCACAGACCAACACTGCTCTGTTAGTGACCATGCTCTGCTGGCAGCTCATATACTAAAAAATAGAGGAAGATTGGCACAGATGTTAGCTCAGGGTGAATCTTCCTCAGCAAAAAAAAATTTAATAAAATGAAATTGTTTGCTCCCCCAAGAACCAATTTTCACCCCCTTAGGGGCAATATTGCCCCAGTTGAGAATGAATGGACTAACTGCCAGCTGTGCCCAGGACTGACTTGGCCTTGGGGCCACCATGACGCCCAGAGCCTGGCAGCTGCCGCTAACCACAGCCTGGGCTCCTCTCTCACCCACCAACCTCACTCACCTGGGTAGTGGCTCTGCAGAGTGGGGAGGGGCCGGTTTCCACATCTCCAAGCTTCCCAGCTCTTGTCTCTCCTGGAATAAAGGCCATCGAGTGGACTAGCAGATCCCTGTGGGCCTCAGGGAAGGAATGAATTCCTAGCCTCACGGCTGAGCCCAATCCCTGTCTGGAAGCTGTTGAGCCTGTTCCTAACAGCTCATTCAGTGAGCCCTCGCTGTGTGCTCAACGAGTCACAGGCCCATCTTGTTCAAGCTGCACATCAACCCTGAGGAGGTAGGAACTATTATTATCCCCATTTTATAGATGAGGATACTGAGGTTTCCAGGGGCAAACAGCTTGCCAAGGGTCAGAGCTCGCAGGGAGCTGACGCCGGCTCCTAGCCCAGGCCTGTCTGACTCCCCAGCTCGACGGCTTATGCACTTTGTCATGCTTTCCCCAGTTTCTCAGCCACCTGTCTCCCCTTCCTCCAACTTCCAGGGACTCTGTTTTGATTTCCAGGGAAGGACATAAGTCTGGAGGGAATTGCACTGGGGTTGGAGATAAAGGGGCAGCCACAGAGCCCGGGACATCTATCCAGGGCTGACAAGAGAGGGGCGGACGTTTCAAGTGACCGGGGCCCAGTCTGGGCTATTGTGGGTTAGTGCCTCTGAGGGGCTGGTGCCTCGCCTGAGCAAGTGCCCTTCCTGTCTGAGTCTGGCCAATAGAGAGAAGCAAAGTTAGGAGGAGCCTTCTTAGAGGCCCAGGAGAGAGAGGGTGCCTTCTCCCCACCCTGAGCAAGGTCTGTATCCAGAACCCCGTGCAATAATGGCCAGGACCAGACCCTCCAGGGGGCCTACCACATACACCCACACAACACTTGCTGAGAAGGCCTCAGGGCCCTCAGAGACCTGATTGTCTGTCACCATAGACAAAACACCCAGTTTCTAGTCCCTCTGAGTGTGATCCACAGAGCCTTCCACACTACAGACCCTGCAATGAAACTGAGCAATTATGGGTGATGATGTTTCTAGAAGGAAGCTCCTCCTGAAATATAAAAGGGGCTTAGGGGTTACTATTTGCAAGCTGATGGCTTTCCCCACAAGGCAGGCTTTCTGAGGATAGTGTCTAAGGGGACTCTGGAAGGGCCTCAGTATAACCAGAGTGGACCTTAAACCAAAGTGAAGGGAAGTGGTGTCTAGAAGAAATTTAAATGGCTGAACCCCATTCCAGGCAGATCTCAGGGAGGAGCAGCCTGAGGGACAACTTGGGGGCAGGAAGCAGTTGGGGGAGAGAAGCTGAGGGCCTCCCTACTTCCATCCCTTTTCTCTACTTCTGCCCTACCCTCCTTTAATCTCTCCTGCTAACCCCATCTGGTTTCCAGCTCGCTGTTGGAGGTATGACCAGCCAGCCTCTAGAGAGGTCAGAGGAAGGGTTTGGCCATTGGCCAACAAGTCCACCTGGGCCTGGACAGCTGCTGCAGCCTCCTTCAGGCAAACTGCAATAGTAGAGGTTCTTGGGGCCAGGCCTGTTTGGAGTCTGTCACCCCCACAAAAGAATGGGAAGCATTTCCCTCAGCTAACAGTCTGTGGGGTCCACTTAGGAGGTCTAGGAAGTATCCAGAATCCAAGAATCAGCAAATCCTAGTGGGTTCTAGACCTCCTTGGAGTAACAGGGGAAATGATGGGGAGGTGGGGACAACCCTTCGCACAGGCCCTGGGAGGGTTGCAGGTCTATAACCCACATCAAAGAGAATGGGGAAAGGGGCCCTTTAATAAAAGTATTTAATTTGCTGCAGGAGTGTTTGCTTTATTGAGTTAGGAGATTAACAGGGTGAAAAATCTCAAATCCGTAAGGAATTTTCCCCGGCGGTGCTTTGTCAGAGGTTATTAATTTGGGGGATGTTTTGGGCCTTGGAGAAGGAGTCACCCCTGGACGGATTTAAATGGCTTTTTCAGCTCTGCTGAGCCTTGCCCCTGTGTGCATAATGGGGACTGTGTATGCAGCCGTCATTTCTAATGTGATCAATGCTGGTAGGTCAGCCTGTTAATAAGATAGATTTTTGTTAACTCTGTCTCTTTAGCATTCCCCGCTAGGGAAATGCAGCTGGCTATATGCTGACACTGACCTTGCCTGAAGGGAGGGCTGGGTGAGGTGGGGCGTGGGTGGGGACCCCGTGAGCAAACAATTTACCCAGCGTTCCAACCTCTCTCAAGCCACAGTCAGTGTGGCTGCAAGGGAGTGGGGGAGGTGGAATGACCTGAGTTGGAAGCCGCGCAAGTGTGGAGGGCCCTTGGGGGTTACTCAGAAGTAGCTGGAGCTCAGAGCCTTCCAAGAGCTCTGAAACAAATTCCAAATCCAGTCTCCCTCTGATCTCCACTAGGAGCAGACCAAAAGCGTGAACTTGCCAGGAGGTTCTTATGAGGCACACATGCTCTGAGAACATTCCTGAGATGACCAGGAAAGGGCAGAAAGAGGGGCAGGAGAAGTGGGTCAGCTTAGTTGGGTCAAACCAGATCAGTACATTTTCAAAAACCCTAAATGTTTCTCTGCACGTAGGCGGGAATGCTTTCTCACTCTATACGTGATGGAGGAGAACGCCGGAACTGTGCCTCAACCCTGGGACTGCTCCAGCTTAAGATCTTGCAGAATGTCTTCCCAGCATTGTTTCCCCTCTTAGTCTGGGGCAGAATGCAACCCCAGCCTTCTGGTCTCTCCATTCACCTGGGATCACCCTTGTGGGGCCAGAGCTGCCCACTATGTATAAACCAGAGTGGGAAGCTGAGTGCACCTAGCGCAGAAGTCAGCCAACCTCATTTGTTCAGTCAACTCATATTTGCTAAGTGCTTACTATCTGCGAGCCCTGGACCAGGTGCTGAAGATACAAAAATGAAGACGGCAGATGCCATCCCTGTCACTTGGGCTCTCAATCTAATGGGGCACAGAGGTGAAGAACCAGGCATTTGGTGATGGGGATGCTATGAAAGTACAGTGTAGGGGCACCTAACCAGACAGCAGGAATCAAGGAGGACGTCCAGGAAGAAGAGATGTTCACACTGAGACCTCAAGGATGGGTTAAAAGTTAGCCAGGAGAGGCTACAGAAGGGAGAAGTGGCCTCTGGAACAGGGAAAACAGACACACAGAGAAACAGGCAGAACTCTGTGGCTAGATTGCCAGAAGTTTCAGGGGTGATCATGCAGTCTTATGAAGCCCATGTGGTGGAGTTTGAACTTGATGTTGAGACCTTCGGAGGACTGCTTAGGGGTTTGGGGTGGGAGAGGGACAAGATCGTCTGTTTGAGAGAGATCACTCTGGCTTCAGTGTGGAGAGTGGATTAAAGGAAGCAAGACTCAGCCAGTTTGGAGAGTTGTCTAGGAGAG